AGGGCAGGAGTTCAGCCTGAGGGACCAAGGATGGGAAGCCATGATGGCTCTGAGAGACTCTTGGAGGGCCCCAAATGGAGGTTTGTTTCTTTTCTCTCTTTCCCCCTCAAGATTGGGAGGATCCTGGCCCTGTGACCCCCCCCTCCAAGAGCCCCCCACCCCATTTGGGCCTCCTGGCCTCTCCTTCCGCCTGGAGGATGAGAAGAAGCTCCTGGCATTTGGGCCCCACTCCTCCCTCCAACAAGGGGGAGAAGGAAAGGGATCTAGTCTCCCCAGGTGGATCTCCACTCGATCCTTCATTTCTCTGGGGTGGAAACAGACAGAAGGAGGAGGACCTGCTTCCCCCAGGATCTCCTTAGGATCCACCTGCCTCTTTTTTGGGGGGGGGGAGACTTGTGATTCCCTTCCTCCCCCACAGCAGGAGATCCACTAAGGACCCTCCATCTTTCATGGGGGGAGGGGAGATTTCGGTCCCTTTTTACCTCAGTTTATATCAATATCCATGTCAACATTCAGACAGACAGATGGATAAATTTAAACACGTTTTCATTAACTGCTGTTGGAAGAAAATGTCAGCTATGGAGGCAAGGACAATCTTATATTGATTAAAATAAAAGAATAAACATATAAAAAAAGACTTTTTAAATGGTGTGGAGGCTGCTTTTCCCTTTGAAGGGACCCCCCCCTTTCCCCCCCTCTGGTTCCTGGGGAGGGGAATATGGGGCTGGAGGAGCCACCAGACCCATCACTCACCTTCGCTCTGATTGTAGCGATTCCTCAGATTCTCCAGGTCGACTCTGAACACCTCCTCAGTGGCACGAAAATTCCGGGTGTTTCTGTCCCTGTATTCGGGGTCATCTTTCTCCACCTTCTCCATCCAGGAGACTCGAGGCTGCATCCTCTGGGTGTGTGTCGTGTCCGTCGCGGAAGGAAGCTCGGAGTCAGTGACTTAGTTTCAGCTCTTTATTGGCTCCGGATACAGCTTAAGCTTGAAGGGGAAAACTGCGGCTTTTTATTCCCGAGCCGCGGCGGCCGCGGCCAATGACACCGCTTCGAATCTCCCGCGATTAGTTTCCACCAATCGCGGGGGATTCGCAACGGGCCAATCAGTGCGGCTCGCTCGACCAATCCGGTCGCCGCGCGCTTTAGCCAATCGCGACGCGGGGCTACGAGTATGTAAATTGCCTTGTACACAACAGTGTGGCTGTCGTAGTGAACAAAGACCTGACCGTCCACGTACCCCACAATGACAAACTGGGGCAGCCCCTGACTGGGGTCTGAGATGGAGGTGTAGAAATACTTCAGGGAGTGGGAGGAGGCGCCTGGAAGGGACCCAGAGGAGGAGAGTTAGGGGGCTTCAGTCAAGGGCCCTGATCCCATGGAGGCTCCCATTTGAGGCTCTGGGGAGGAAGGAGGAAGAGGAAGAAGAGATGGGGGGCAGAGGAGGAAGGGGGGAAGGAAGGGAGAGATGGTGGGAGAGGAGGCAGGAGGTGGAATGAGGGAGCGACTGAGAGGGAGAGAAGCAGCTTCTGGAGGGCCTGAAGAGTTGGAGGGCAGGGAAGGTCTTCACCTGCCCGCAGTTGTGCCCTCCCCTCTTCCATCAAGGACTCCCTCAAACCCCCTTCTGGGCTGCTCAGTCTCTGCCCCAAGGAGGCTACAGTGGCCCCACAGGGAAAAGGGCGGATTTCCCCCCAGGAGCTCAAAAGCAGCAGGAAACCCCACCTGGACACCCCAAATTTCCATTCACAGCAAAAAAAAGTCTAAGGGCCAAAGTGGATGGTTTATAGCTGCAGATATTAGGGGAGATTTTATAAAACGGGGGAGGGGAACGGAGAGGCCATGGGATCCTTAGGGGAAACTCAAAAAAGGGAAGGCAAAGGGAAAGGAGCAGCAATGAAGCCACGGAGACCCTCGATCTTCCTCCTGTCCCCCTTCCCATCGCTGGAAAATCCCCCCTCCCCTCCCAGAGTTCAGCTGTTTGAGCAGGAATCGGCCTTGAACCCAGGACTCAGAGGGGCTCTTCCTCATTCCACAGAGAATTTCACTGGGATTACCCCAAGATTGCTTCATTTCAGCAACCCAGTTAGGGCCCTGAAACCATCACCCACGGATGCACTTTGTCAGGCAGAAATGCCCCTCAGCCAACTTGGGAGGGGATTGTGATCCTGGCTACTCAACTCTTCCCATGATCAGTGAGTGGAAGGTAAAGGCCTAAATCAGAGTTCCTCAGACTCAGCCATTTGGACTTCAATTCCCAGAATTCCCCTCACCCTATAGAAACCCAGGGGGCCTCTCCACCCTGCCCCCACCCCCTGCCCCCACTGGGCCTGATTGGGAGTTCCTGCTGAAAACACCCATGTTTTTTGGGGGGGCTCAGCTGGGGTCCTCTCCCTAAACTCATCCTCTGTGGGGAGGGTCCTGTCCCCTTTCAAGCCCCTCTGGTGAACCAAAGATTAAACACAGAACATTATTTCACTTTCCATCATGCAAACTCCTGACTGAGGATCATCCGAGTTTTTCCAGCCCTTCCTTGGAGGACAGGCTCAATTCACAAGACATGAAACTTTACTAACAAGGAGGGGGGAAATCACATTAAGTCACCGTTTAGTTTCCATTGTCAAAATACAAACACAGAAGAGACTCTGAGGCTGCCCAATGAACAGAAAAAAACAGCTTCTAAGCGGGTTAAAAGAATCAGAAGTAAATAAAATGAATAAAATGCTGCTGGGAAATTGATTCAGCTGGAAAATCCCCCAGGCCCCTTTTTGGTGTCCATTCTGAAAGCTCTTCAGGTCAGAAATTCTTTCAGGGCACCAAAGATTTTAAAGATCATGTTATGAACTAATAAAATACGCCTTATTAAAAGTTAACAAAAGCTAGCTAGGAAAGCAGGCTCGAAATCCTGCTCTTCTCATTGGCCCACCAGAGCAAGTCGGGATTGGTCCATTCTGTGCATCCTGATTGGCTTAGAACGGGCCGTTCCCATTGGACAGAAACCAAGGTATTAAACGTTATTCATTGGTTAATGGGACAGCAGCCAGCCCTATAAAAGGGCTGCTGCTGTCCAAGGGTTTCGCTCTGTTCGTTCTGTTCTGAAGTCACTGAATAAAGAGTTGAGTCACTACTGATGCCTCGTCTCCGTTCTTGCGCCCACGCCTCCCAACATAACAGATCATTTTCAGGATCGTTCATGGTATTTATTTGGGCAGAACCAGGGTCTGCATACAAAAGGGCAGGACCTCCAAAGCCCAGAGAAATAAATGCACGTAGTCCTCGACTTATGACCATAATTGAGCCCATGTTTTTGTTGCTAAGTGAGACATTTGTTAAGTGAGTTTTTTCCTCCATTTTGCAAATTTTCTTGCCACAGTTGTTAAATGAATCGTTGCAGATGTTAAATAAATAACCTGGTTGTTAAGTGAATCTGGCTTCTCCATGGACTTTGCTTGTGAGAACGCTGCAAAAGGGGCTCATGTGATATGGGGAGACTGCGACCGTCATAAATATGAACCAGTTGCCCAGCATCCAAATCTCGGTCACATGACAATGAGGATGCTAAAATGGTCACAAGTGTGAAAAATGGTCATACTGTCACTTTTTTCAATGGTATTGCAACTTTGGACACTAAATGAACTTTTGTAAGTCGAGGACTGCCTGTAGTCCCACTGCCCATTCCCTCCAGTATGGCCTCCCAGTCCTTCCCAGTCCAAGGCAAAGGCCTGGGCCTCCTTCTTCCTGCTCCTCCCCACAATCCCAGGGGCTTCTCAGAGCTTTTGGGGAGAGGGATCCCAGATCCACTTCCTGCTCTGGGGAGATTTCAGAATCCAAAAGGGATCAGAGCTTTTCCCTAACAGAAGGAGTGGGGATCGGACTCTCCGTGATCCAGAACTGGCTTCTTTCAGGGACGTCTGTGTCCATTTTTTGGCAGTAGCCAAAGAAGCGAATACAATCCTTGGTTGTATAAACAGAGGCATAGAATCAAAATCACGTGAAGTTATCAGTACCGCCTTATAAAGCCTTAGTAAGGCCTGCCACACCTGGAATGCTGCCTCCGATTTTGGTCACCACATTACAAAAAAAGATGTTGAGGCTTTGGGAAAAGTGCAAAGAAGAGCAACTAAGATGATTAAAAGCCTGGAGGTTAAAACATATGAAGAACGGTTGCTGGATTTGGGTTTGGCTAGTCTAGAGCAGGGGGGTCTCCAAACTTGGCCACTTTGAAGACTTGTGGACTTCAACTCCCAGAATTCCTCAGCCCACAAAGATGGCTGTGGAATTCTGGGAGTTGAAGTCCACAAGTCTTAAAGTGGCCAAGGTTCAAAGTTACAATGGCTCTGAAAAAAGTGACATAACTGTTTTTCATATTTACATCCTTTCCAGCACCCCATGGTCCCCTGATCAACATTAAGCCGCTTGGCAACTGATTCATATTTATGACGATTGCCGTGTCCCTGGGTCATGCATCCCTTTTTGCAACCTTTTGACAAGCAAGGTCCATGGGGAAGCCAGATTCGCTTAACAACCAGGTTGCTAACTGATCCACTGCAAGCTTCACTTAACAACCAAGTTGCTAACTGATCCACTGCAAGCTTCACTTAACAACCAGGTTGCTAACTGATCCACTGCAACGCTTCACTTAACAACTGAGGCAAGAAAGGTCGTAAAATGGGACAAAGCTCACTTAACAAATGCCTCACTTCACAGCAGAACTTTTGGGCGCCCTTGTGGTCGTAAGTCGAGGACCACCGGTATTTTTTAATTCTGCAAACTTATTGGGGGCTTCTGAAATGGAAGAAGGAACCTCTGAGGAGGTTATTGGGCTTTAGGATGGGATATAGGGGAGAAAATGAAAATGGAGAAAGAAGGATCCTTAAGAAGATTATTCTTCCAGGGAGCGTTTCTCTCTAAACTCCGACCCTCCGGCGGAGTTCACACTGCAACCTTCGCCCAATTGCTCCACTGCAACAGCCTCTCATTTTGCAAATGACACCCAGTTGTGTTCCTAGAAATGGGCTGAATCCTCCCAGCACCAAAGCTACAAAGCCCACCCAGCCTCCTAAAGTCAGGAAAGACGGAGGGGTTGTGCGAAGGCAGCCAGGAGGTTGTGAATTGACCTGATCCCGCTTTCCAACAACCTCTGCTTTAAAACAGGGAAAGGTTTGCGCTTTGGGGCTTCCCAGGTAGACTTGACGGGCCCCTGGAGGGGCCACCCTTGTCCTGATCCCAGTGGGGCTCTCCTGGATTTGGGGGAGAGGGGGAAAGCAGCAGCTTTGGGGCATAATATCAAAGTGGCCAGAGGAGGAGGGGGAGCGGACTAAAAAGAGGACTGAATTAGGAATCTCTGTCTGGGTATGTATTACCCTTTGCAGAGGGGTGGGGGGAGGAGAAAGTTTCCGTGGCACTTAAAAAGGGCGGAAACCCACCCACCCTCCAGACCCCCAAAGGGACTCACCAAAGCAGCTCTCCCTCAGGGCCACCGCCACCAACATCAGGAGCAAGAGGGGCGCAGAGCGCAGAGCCATCCTGGCCGCGATCCTCAAACCTGTGCCCTGCTTTCCGGAAGTCGCAGACAAAGAAAAAACTTCTCCCTTTGATCAACAGAGCAAACAACCCGGAGCAGGCTGGCGATTGGCCAAGCTCAACCAATAGAGAAAAAAAATATCCCCATGTCGGCATAGTTGCTTGGCAGATGTCCAGGCTCAACAGGTGCGAAAAGTGAAAGTCACATCAGGAAATCTTGGGGTGGGGGAGGGGCAGAATTGGGGCAGTGAAGGGACCCTGAGAGCAATTAATCCATAGGATACCTTGCTTCCTGGAGCTGGTAGGTGGTCCATCACTGGAGATGTTCAAAAATGGACCCTTTGATAAGGATGCTATAAGGCAGGGGTCTCCAAACTTGACCCCTTTAAGACTTGTGGACTTCAACTCCCAGAATTCCTCCTCCAGTCATGTTAGCTCAGGAATTCTGGGAGTTGAAGTCCACAAGTCTTAAAGGTGCCAAGTTTGAAGAGCCTTGGTGTAAGGTCTCTCCTGCCTATCCCGCATTTTTCTGTATTTTATATCTATATCAGTTTTATTTTCAGGCAATAGAAATGTCCCCAGGAATGCCAGCCAAAGCAAAGCCTTGCCTGCAGAACATGTTTTTCTAAGACAAGCTTACAAGTCATTTAAAGTTGGTCCAAGGTCCAAGAGCCAACTTAAGGTTGTCAACAGATCCAAGGTTCAGGAGTGACATTATATACACGCCAGAGCTAAATGTTGTTTCCAGCAAAGAGAACAGAGTCAACCTCTCCTATAGGCTGCAGCCAACTGTCATTCATTGGAATGATTACTCTGTTGCTAGGCAATGACCAATAGGATCTCTGTTCTGCTCTCTTTTGGACAACTAAAGTTTAGCTTTTCTTTTTCTTTGCCCAACTTATATGTCAACCATTTTCCCAGCAGAGTTGAAAAGCCAAAATTTCTCTGCTCTTTTTTTCATAGTTCATCTTTATTTCCATTTTACTTACTGATAATACATGTGCCCTTTATTAGTTAACTATTTAATTGTCTATTAAACTTCATAGATAACTGGCTGTGTGAAAGTTTAATGTGGTGGGTAATCGTTGTCCTGTTTGGGAATTTTTAAACCCTTCCTTTTTTAAAAATCTCATGCAAAATCACTTGTGTTTTCTTCTTGCCTTTCCTCTTTAAATTTACCATTATGTTAAACATGCATCCCAAACTCCTACATGTAGTCCTTTTACATTTAGGACCACAATATAGACTGGAAAATTTGTCATTAAGCAGTGTGGTCATTAAGTGAAACTTCATGTGAGCACACGAGGTGAATCCCTGGTCATTAAGCAAGACATCGCATAACTATGACTTTCTCTGCCGGCTTCCCAATTGACTTTATCAGAAGCTGGAAGGGAAAGCAGTCACGGGACCTCGGGAGGCTGCAACTGTTATAAGTGTGTGACAGTTGCCCAGCACCTGAGTCACCATGATGTGACAGCAGGGACATTGTTATGGTTATAAGTGCGAGGACCACGCAGTGTTTTCAGTGCTGCCATAATATGGAACAGTTGCCAAATCAGGGATGTTAAGTGGAGCACTTCCTGGACTTGCCTCCCTTTAGAAAGTGTGTGTAGAGAAGAGCAACAAAGGTGACAAAGGGCCTGGAGGCTAAATCCTAGGTTGAAAGGTCGAGGGAGCTAAGGATGTTCTGTTTATGGAAGAGAAGGGTTTGTGGGGAGGACACGATAACTATTTTCCAGTCAGGGGTGGGCTGCTACCACTTCTCCACAATTCAGGCGAACCGGTAGCTAACCGGTAGCAAATGTTATGGCCGATTCGGCGAACTGGCAAATCCCACCCTTGGCTGGCCCTGCCTGCCCCTCCCCTCCCCTCCCGGGACTCCCCACACAGCCCGTGGGGAGCATCCCAGGTAAGTACAGGGCCCAAGGGAAGGCTCAGGGAGGGCAAAAAATTGGGCCTTCCGGAAGGCCAAAAACAGGCCTGTTTCTGGCCTCTGGAGGGCCTCCGGAGCCCAGGGAGGCCATTTTCACCCTCCCAGAGGCTTGAGGAAAGCCTCTGGAGACTGGGGAGGGTGAAAATGGCCCCCCACCATGTTGCAGTAGGCCGACTAGGACACACCCACCCAGCAACCAGGCAAAGAAGGCATTGCTGGATCTTTTGACCTGCTTTCAGTCCTTGAGGGGCTGTCATAGAAAAGGGGGGAATCGACTTCTTCTCCAAAGCACCAGAAGGCAGGAGAAGAATGATTGGAAGCATGTTAACAACAGGTCCAACCTAGAA